TAGAGGAAGAAGAGAGTCACTCAGGCAAACAGGGAAAGAACAAAGGCTTGATGAGACGCTCCCACTGGGCACGCCGGGAAATCTGCAGCCGGGCCACACTCACCCCTGTGAGGCTGCGCAGCACCTCTTACTTTCGGGTGGTACGTGAGTGTGGAAATGCACACCCCATCGAGTTCGGTGTCCAGCCAGGTGCTGGGGTCCCCCTCTGACTCTCCCTCCTTCTTTCCTAAGCTAATAACCCGAAATGTCTCGCTAAACACAACAGTCGCTGCTGGCAGGTTTGACAACGGGCACAAACTTTCCAGAAAGGGCTTGGCAGTGTATACAGAGTGTCTTTGAAAAGTTCACCTTCTCTAATCCAGAAAAACATTTACATATGGGGATGCTCCTTATGACATTAACTATAAAAATAAAAGCCCCAAAGTAAAAGTCCAATACCAGGGAAATGGTTAGATGGACTACAGCATAATTCACAGGTCATAACAGCAGCAGACCCTTAACATTTTCTTTTCTTTTTTTTTTGTCCTTTTTTTTTTGAGACTGGCCGCACCACGCTCAGCCAGTGAGTGCTGTGGCGCACCGGTCATCCCGATATAGGATCCGAACCCGCGGCGGGAGCGCTGCTGTGCTCCCAGCGCCACACTCTCCCAAGTGCGCCAAGGGCTCGGCCCAACACCCTTAACATTTTCAACCAGACATATGAATATATTTTAAAGTTACAGGAAAATGCTCATAAGTGGAATGGAGATACAAAATTACATGTGGCCATAATTCTGTAAAACACACATGTATGCTATAAACATCTGTAAAACACACATGTATGCTATAAACATACGTATACACACATGTAAAGATGCACAGAAAACAGGACAAAACCCAAGCAGTTGATGTGGCTTAGCTCTGGGTGACAAGACACAAGTGGGACTGGCTTTTCTGTCACTGTTCCCTGCACTGTTCTGATGGGTGCGTCACAGTAACCGGGCACACTGGGGTCAGAGTGTTCAGCCTCAGGGGTAGGGAACACGGGGAAGACCCTGACACCAGCCCAGGGTCTCCCAGAGGCCCCAGCTCACCTGCAAGTGCCTGGGTCCACAGCAGCTATTTCAAACCTTCTAGGCAGATACTGCTTTAGCCACGGTCACCTGTGCCTGGGGACGTGCCCCTCCCCCACTTCCCCCACAGACAGGCTGTGTAAAGGACCACTCTACTGTGTTCACACACACAAGGCCTGGCAGCCACCCTGGTCACAAAAGGGAGGGAGTGCCAACCCCTGCCAAGCCCCAGGAGCAGCACCAAGTGGCTGGGAGATGAGGGTGAGGGGCCACGCTGCCCGCAGGCACCCCATTCCCTGCAACACCCTCCATGGCAGCAAGTGTCCTCAGGAGGTGGACAAGACACAGGGACCAGGCAGAGCATGCTCAGGCCCCAGAGGGGAGCAAGGGGGCATAGAGCACGCTGAGAAATCTCGTCAACACGGGACGCCCATCTGTCACCTGCCACTCAACCCAACCCCCTTCCTCCAGCAGGGTTCTCACGGCACTGGCTGTGCTCCCTGTGTGCAGCAGGGCCTGCGCAGGCCAGCCTCTGCCTCTCAGCTGCTGGCTGGGCCCGGCACAGAGCACGGAGTCCTTGCGGGACAGGTTCAGAGCATGAGTGGAGAGACGGGCTCTGAAGGCGGCTGCCTGGAGAAACGCTTCCAAAGGCGAGTAGTGCTGACACTCCTGAAGTTGGGGGAGCCTGCCCGGACACTCAGTGCCCAGGTGACCACAATGCCAGGCCAGCACACACCGCTCCTTTCAGAAGGAAGGCCAGGTCCTGCTGTCACACAGGCTTGGCACAGTCCCCTTCAGGGCATCTAATATTCTCACTGACTGTTTAGAAAGGCGTTAATGTCCTCCTCTGCTAGATGTCAGTGCCTGGGGCAGGGGTGGCATCCATCTAGTTGACTAGCACAAGGCCTGGAGTACAGTAGCTGCTCAATAACTATCTGTGGAACAAAGTCACCGAGAGCTGTCAGCTCTGGGAGGCCAGTTTTAAAAACTAAAAGTCCCACTGGTGCGGCTTTGCCACAGGAAACCTGTAATAAAGGAGCGGCACTCCTTATGGGCTTGCTGAGAGGAAAGGGGCTCTCACAGAAGCTCCCTTGGGGCTCCAGAGAACCTGGGCTGTGACCAAGCAGGCCTGCAAGCTCTGTGCCAGGTCACACTTGACCAACCGCAGAGGGCTGGGGCATCCCAGCGAGTGGCTGGAGCAGTGCAGGATGCGACAGACAAGCCCACGGCCCGCGTGAGAGAACAGGTTTGTGCTCAGCGAGCCCCTGCGCTTCTCAGCACTTGGGCTGAGAAGACAAGCTTCCAAACAGGCAGGACGCGCCCTGATGTCATGTGAGAAGACCACCCCGGGGCTGCCTGCAGGAGGGCACCACGACCGCTCTGTTCCCCAGGGGAACCCCAGTGAACTGCCCACGTCTGCTCTTCCCGGCCCCTCTTACTGCCATGGACACACTCTGAGTGCTTCCTACTTGCCAGGCCCTGCACAAGGCTTTGGGGACAAGAAGATGACCATGACCCAGTCACTGCCCTAGGGAGTCCCAGACCAAGTTGGGAGACGAGAGTCAAACGACTGAACATAACGTGCAGAGTGGCACAGGCAGCGGCAGTGGCGGGAGGAGGTCCTCGGTACTCTTCAAGGGGGGCAGGTGGGTTTCAAGGAGGCCCAACACCCATAAGGGACACCACGCCTGTGTTTTCATTAGCTGACACCACTTACCTTTCACTTCTTTTTTCTTCTTCTTTTCTGGAAATTTGCACGGCCCTGAGCCCACAGCCTGCTGCCCCTTCTTGGCTGGCTGCTCTTGCCGGCCTTTCTCCCTCTGCAGCCTCTCCAGGTGCAGCGCCCTCAGGTCCAGCTGGTCCCAGCTGCACTGCTCCCTGCGGGGCTGCTCCTCCCTTGGGGGCTGCTTCTCCCTGGGGGGCTGCTGCTCTCCAGGGGGCTGCTTCTCAGGAGGCAGCTGCTCCCTGGGGGGCTGATCCCTCTGCACGGGGCTGAGGGGCGTGGGATAGAGAGGGGCTTTGCTGCCAGCGCCTGCCAGGGCCAGCGGGGTCCTCTTGCTCACAGTAATGAACCTCCTCTTGCCCTCCCCCGTGCTGTCGTGCCTCAGCCCGTGCTCCTCAGCTATCTGGTGGACCCGCATGCGGTCATGGGAATTCAAGGAAGCAGGAAACTCCAACTGCGTCTTCTCGCTGGCTGCAAACTCGGCTATCACGGCCCTGAGGTGGTCCACACTGTCCTTGCTCTCCACTCCCCGTGGGCTGCCTCCCTTGAGACTGGGTTGGCAACAGGCTGCAGAGCCCACAGGCTTCCTGCCTGGCTTCTTCCGATCCTGCCGGGCAGCTGTTCCAGTCTCCTGGCCTCCGCCCCTCTCCTGCCACCTGCTTCCAGGAGGTTTCCCAGCAGATGAAGCAGGGCCCTGGGGCTTTGCAGCAGCCTGGCTGTGCCCCTGGGAGCTCTCATGGGAGTAGTTTTCAGGGACGATGTCGTCAAGGTACTCAAAGGCTGTGCGCACTTCCCCATGCTCTGTGAAGTAATCCACCAGGGTCTTCAAAAAAGCATGGTTGTTGACGGTGCGGGAATCACAGATGACCGCCACGTGGCGCCGTGCACGGGTGATGGCAACATTGATCCGCCGGTCCTCAGCAAGAAAACCAACTTCACCTACAAAAGGCAGAGGTGAGTGAAGAGCAGACCTAAGCCAAAGCAGCAGGAAGGGGGCTCACTCCCCTCGGCAGTAACAATCACCAACATGCCCTCGGTGCTCCCAGCAGCTGTGGGGGCTCCCAATCTCCCGACTGGCCCCCTGCACCCTGCTCATCCTTCCCACGCCGCCAATGGCCCACGAGGCCCAATGTGAGGCCGCAGCATCTGCTCGGACGTTGTTTCCGCTGCTCCTCACGTGCGAACCCTGGAGCCCAGCGTGGGCGTCAACAGCTCTCAGCCTGTTGTTCAGTTCCACGTGAGGACAAAGCAGACTGTGGGGTGTTGGCTGATACACAGGGGGTTATGGCTGCAGGTGACACATGAGGAAAAGCGCAAGGGACCTTCCTGCACCTCGTTTTCTTTTCCCACCACAGCCTGCCCCATGTCCCTCCTCTTCTGTTTCCAGCTTTCTACTAAAAACACTTCACACAAAGCCCCTTCACTACAACTGATTCTGGGCACAATTTTCTCACTGCATGGAATATCTACAAACCAGAGCAACATAAAATGCATGGCTGGAGGGCAAATCCACCTGACGCAGAAAGACAAGCTCGGGCGGGAGGGGGCTCCATCTCCTCGCAGGGCGTCCAGGCCGTTTCCAGCCCACCTGGCCCGCCACCTCCACTGCCTGCTCCTTGACTCCATGCCTGTTCCTCTGAGCCCCACAGACTCTGTTCCCTCTGCCTCGAACACCTTCCTCCCACCCCACCCACCCTGCAACACTCTGCCCAGATGTCACCTCCCCAGGACCACTTCCCGCCCCACCCCAGGCTGTGCAGATCGCCTGAGTGGGTCCTGCTAGGGCCCTCACCACGCCTCGTTTGTCAGTCTCTTGCTGGACGGTGAGCTGAGGACAGAGCCTATGCTCACTGCCATGCGGCCAGCGGCTGATGGGGCACTCGGCAGAAATCCAATATCCCCCGAATCAGAAAATTCACCTCTGTGCTATCCCCAAAGACTCTGACAAGGGCTACGTACCTTTCCTGTTGGACCTGACGAAGGAAAGGATCACAGCCTCCTTCTCTCGGCCTTGGAAGCCATCGACGGACTTAATTTCAAGCTCGGGGTGCCTGTGCACAAGGCTGTGTCTGAGCAGGTCCACCTGAAACACCGAGCAAGGCTATGGCCTCTTGGCCCCACCAGGCCAGGGTGGCTCTGAGACCCTGCCTCCAACTCTGCAGGGGGCCTCATGCTGCAGAACTGCCACACACAAGCGCTGCAGGACCCCCCCTGAGGACGGTTCTCACAGCTGCCCCCTCACAGGCATACATATGAACAGACCAGACAACATGTGAGCACATCAACCGTGACACCCCACCCCTGGGGTTTTATCATCTCCTTTAGCTCGGGACAGCCACCAGCCTCAGACAGCCCGATGTGTGATGCCAGGAAGGGGTGACAACCACTTCCAAGGATCTCACAACACTCAAACAGGTGTGTTTTTCCTACCAACAAGACAGGGACGTGGACGGGTCCTGAGCCAGACCAATACAATGTAAAGCTGAGATTCCTGTGGGAAATGTCCTAAAAGGACAGGCCCTTCCACCAGGACTGTCTATGGAAGGACGGTGTCAGGCCAAGGTGTCCAGGGCCACCTGGGAAAGCTGGCCTGGAAACGAAGCCAACACGGGGGAATCAGGCTGAGAGATCAGGACGGGGCAGGGGCATGGCAGAGTGAGACGGATGGATGGATGGATGGATGGATGGATGGATGGACGGACGGACAGATGGACAGGCTCTTGCTGATATCATTTGGGCCCTAGGTCCAATAATGATGAGGTCAACCCTACCCTAGACTTTTTGGTAACAATAGCCAATAAATTACCCTTTCTTCTAGCCACTTTGGGATGGCTGCGTCCTGACTGATACACAGACAGACAGGAGGGGCCCCTCTCGCACCTGAAGGTTGTATGGCGTGATGATGGCAATGTCACCTGCTTGGACCCCAGCATCCACCAGAGCCTGGACGTGCAGACTGACGAGGCGGACTTCACCTGGGGTGGAATAAAGAGCAGGTGTTCGAGGCGAGGGATGCGCTGCGCTGGCGTCTATCACTAGATGCCAGTTTTAACCACCTTCCTATCATGACGAGCTGATCCTATTCTGTGCCTCAGGTGGCTTCCTGAGAGCAACCAGCCTGAGTCGGAGGGTGCCAGGTTGAGCACACAGGATTGAGGGGGGCCGGACAGCCAGGACGCCACGTGGACACTGAGCACCACGAGCGCATGGTGGCCATGCCCGTTTGATCTGAAGCCCTGTTAGTGGAGCTGGGACACAGGCGCTGGTGACTGAGTCATTCTCATCAGAAGACTAACCAGGCAGTCGGGCCGTCAAGATGAAGCCTGTGAAACACGCCAGGCCCAGTGCTTCCCTGCTGTCAGGGCCGCCTGCCCCTGAGAAGGTCAGTACTGTGCGGCCTTTGGGGTATGTGGCTCCAGGTCTTTCAGAGCCCATTACTAACTTGCTCTCATCCCCTCTTTCTCTCACTCAGCTCCTCCCTGAGCTAGGTGACTTAAGGTGACTTCTGTTTTTAAAGAAGAGCTTGGGGTCTGTTCAAACAAAGTGCCAACCCTCTCCACACCAGCTTACCAGGGTTCCCTTTCGACTGGTCATCCTCCTCCTCCAGTTCAAAGAGCCCGCAGCCCGCTGTGTCCACGAGCAGCAANTGGGGTATGTGGCTCCAGGTCTTTCAGAGCCCATTACTAACTTGCTCTCATCCCCTCTTTCCCTCACTCAGCTCCTCCCTGAGCTAGGTGACTTAAGGTGACTTCTGTTTTTAAAGAAGAGCTTGGGGTCTGTTCAAACAAAGTGCCAACCCTCTCCACACCAGCTTACCAGGGTTCCCTTTCGACTGGTCATCCTCCTCCTCCAGTTCAAAGAGCCCGCAGCCCGCTGTGTCCACGAGCAGCAAGGGGATGCCTGTCTCCTCCGTGGCAGACACACCCGGGAGGTCCCTGGCACACAGGTGGAGAGAGGGTGCATGAGGGCCAACCAGAGAGTGACCGAAATGCTACCCCACAGGACTGAGCTCCCCATGAAGAAACGGAGGGGCCACAGCCTGTCCAAACCCACTCTGCAGGGCAAGGCCACGCTCCCTTCCGGGAAATGAGTCAGAGTCAATGTTTACTCTAAAATCCTTAGGATTCCACTTGAGCTCGCTGCTTCCAGAGGAGGGGTCAGGGCAGATGGACAAAGGAGCAGAAGGGTTGGGGCACAGAGCCAGTCACTCACCTCAGGAGGTGCCCGGCCACGGAAGGGTGAGCCACAAGCTGCCCACTGTACATGGCCTCCGAGGCCCAGCGCATGATGGCCTGGTGCATGCGGTACTGCACGGTCAGCATCTGCACCACCTTGGCGCCGTGCTCCTCGGCCAGGCGCTCCATGAGGCTGAGCGAAAGCCCCGCCTGCGCGGCCCTGTGCCCAGAGGAGAGGGGTGGGGAGGGGAACCTGAGTCCGAGTCCTCAAAGTGCAGAACCCAACCCATCCCGAGTCCAACCTAAGGGTGGGATCGCTGGACCACAGCCCCCAGTGGCACCTGCATCCTAACTGCCAGGACCTGTGAATGTGTTCTTCTCATAGCAGGGACCTAGCAGACGCAGTGAAGTTAAGGCTCCTGAGATGGGGAGCGACCCTGGCTTGTCCAGGTGGTAATCACAAGGGCTTCATAAGAGGGAGGCAGGAGAGTCAGAGTCAGAGAAGGAGGCCACAAGATGAGAGAAATTTGAAGACAGATGCTGCTGGCTCTGAAGATGGAGGAAGCCGCACGAGCCAGCAAATGCAGACGGCCTCTAGAAGCTGGAAAAGGCAAGGAACGGGCTCTCC